CAAGAAATTCGATTTTTAATATGAATTTTTTTCTGAGTTTTTGTTAAATTCTTCTTCTAGCTCACGGTAGTACCACTTTTCATAATTATAAGTCCATCTCTTATAAAAAAGCTCTATATATTTTAACAAAATCCTTCCCTACAATATAGTCTTTGTTACTAATACCGAGATAAAATTACGCTTGTTAATTTAAAATAATGGAAGCAATTTATCGTAGATTGAAATAACGCGGTCAGGTGGTCTGGTGGCTGGGACCATTATAACTCGCTAATAAATATATCATAAAGTAATTATGTTTTCAATAAAACGGTCGTGTTCACGGCTTAACTCAATCAGCCCAACGTTCATCCTGGAGAAATCATTTTATACTCTACTAGCGGTGTCAGCGACTACGTCCGCGTAGAATAGGCATTTGTTTTGCAAACCTCCTGTTCCTTTATAAATTAAGTTGTTTTAGCCCATTTCCTTTTTCGATAAATTCTCTAACCAACACAAAAATAAATCTTCAAGTCAAACTGGTAGTTCCTGAGATTAGCGCGTTTGAATAAACAAACAAACTCTTCAGCTTTATATACATATTTGTATAGATTTGGTGTATGGTGCTCAGCTGAGCCGCGTCCTAACGCAGCGATATATTGATATATGTGTTATTTTTAGTTCTAATACATATCAGTTTTCTTACGATAATCCAGTATACGATATACAATATCGTAAAACATGTGGTGAATCCACCAGATATATTTTAATGCAAAACCGAACTCCGTACTTCAAAAATACTGTTGTCCAATATAGCAAAATAAATCTTATTTTATTTAGAAAATTTTCAAACATAACAGAAGTTAAAAATGTCGCGTAATTTTGAGATACTACAAATGTATTAAGAAGAAGAATGACTACTAACTAGTCATTCTTCTTCTTAATAAATTTGTGCGAACAGAAACTCACCTCTTATATCCACGAAAACGTAAACGATTTCACTTACAGCGGTAGATAAAGTGATGCGTGAGTAAATAAAATAAAAAGCGATATAAAGTAACGGTCAGACGTCGTGAGGGCATCGGCTTGCGCGTGCGCAGAAGCGACGTTACTCTGAAACTATCTCACGCGATCACGGTGACATCGTCAGGTCACTGTGTCGGACATTTTGGTATTTCACTTATGCCTCTTATTTATTATAAAGGATATATAAATACAATGTTTAAACATTTTTCTTGATTTCAAACTTATGTAATTGCGAATTAAAAATAATATAATAATGGCTTTATTGTAGTTTAAAATAATTCGGTTACGATTTTATAGAAGTCTTACTTTATAATTACAGTGCAATTATGCTTAATGTACTAAGGTGTTATAATCGTAATTTTTTCTTAAACTAAATAGATTTTTAATTCATATAATGCAATGACAAACACGTGAGTATTATAAAGTTTTTTAAATATCCTGCCTTTTATTGACTAACTAATGCACCCAAAAGTTACTAGTAGCCTAATGTGTAAAATTTTAAAGCTGTAATTAATAAACAAAAACTAATCAGCGCGCTCATCTCTCTAAATGTCTGCGGCAACTTAAAAGGATGTTTAATTAAAAATAATTTCACATGAGTAAAGGAACCGCTAATCAAGGGCGGTAGCTCAATCAAATGACACTCGTAAATCTTCAAAAACCAGAAGATTAAATTACACGGCTACCGGAAGGCAGGAAAAGTGGCAATAACAAATTGTTCGAGATAAAGCCTTTTTAATGTAGAAGACGCAACCCGTTTCACTTATCGATTTGTATTCTTAGGGTTCCGCCTATCGCCAAGCCATTTTTTGAACCATAATGGATAGAAAATTACTTTTCACAGATTTTGTGTTCCTATAGGAGATATATTGATAACGTGATTATTCGCAATTGTATAGATAACGGTACGGAACTCTACCTGTGCAAAATCACCTCACGCTTGGTCGCTTTTTTAAATTAAACTTAGATGTTTAGAATGATGTTTGGCATTGAAAAAATTATATATAACGTTATTCTAATGTAGCGCTTAGAATCGAGGTAAAATACTTATTTTTAAAAGCTCTCGAAATGTTCGTATTAATTGCACAGTGACCATAAGCTATATTCTATGTATCTTTGCTTTCAATATTTAAAAAAAATACTTTCAAACAGTTTAAAACACATTTACATTTTTCTTATTTAATTTTATAAAATATGCAGCAGCCGAAACATCCGAGAGTAGTTAAATAAATAAAATGTTAACTAATTTATGTCGTCGTTTTAAACCGTTAAAATTTTTTTTACTTGTACTCGCGTAACCTACAGTGAAATAAGTTAAACTATTTATACATTTCTCGTTTTAAATAGTAGAAAGCGTTTTATTGAATTTTTTACTATTTGTAATATTGGAGAATCAGGTAACTACAGTAATAAAAAAACAAATTCGCTTAATAAAAATAAAATAGCAGCTGGAATCAAATCTATCACGTCTATCTTCCGGCGAAAGCCCCACCGTATAAGGAATATTCAAAACGGCGAAGATCACGTGAATATAAACTTCTTGAGAAGTTATCTGCAGAACCCGTGTCGCATGCCGACACGACGCGACGTCAAAATATAGTCTTTAGCGCGGCTTATCTACCGTCACTATTTTGTCTTCGTAGCAACGTAAACTAATCTTTAAGTTAGCTGAAATTAGGGTTCATTTCAGGATTTATCACAGGACGATATTGCTTTAATATTACTATTACCTTTTTCACTTTAAACGGACGATGGTAAGATAGATTTGATCGATAAAACGTGCTTAATACTCAGCTCAAAAAACTGTTAGGTTAAATTGTCACAGTTCGCAAAAATGTGGAGCAATGTGGCAACATTGCGCTACAAGCGTGTTTTAGCAGGCGCTACAAATAACTTTGTAACTAAAATTTTAGACTAACTATTCTTTACTAATAATAACTGTGGTAAGTTTTGTCTAGGTCCATGGATCGAACACATTTCTGTGTCCGTTTCAAACATCGGTTTTATTTGCCGGCAAGTAACTTGATCAGACTTCTATGCCCTCTCCGACGGATACAATAGATTATTTCCCTAGGGTTTGAACCCACGACCTCTAGCAGTTAATACGAGAGGTCCTGTTCTTCTTCTTAGTGAATGCTAGGCAACACGTTTATTACGTAGCTACAGAGGCGGTCGAAATTGGCGTGAGTTAGATTCTGCAAATTCCTACAAGTCAAGATTCAGACGGGCTCTTAAGTGTAGTGGTAGCTATGTATGATAAATAATGAACAGTTCGATTCCTATCGAACCCAATGTATTTCCTAAGAATTATAAAATTTTCTAATATTGGACAATAATATACCCTATTTGGATACTTGCTGGTAGAAATATCAAAAATCCCGTCCGTAATAACTAGCGCACCTAAATAAATTCGTGTTTCGATGCCAGTCCGCATATCCAAGGGCTACACCACATCTTGTTTAAGTAATATATGGCTGAAATTTTCCACCTTCCATCAGGTAAACCTCGTGCTCTGCATGCATGTTTGTCTTACTAAAGTCATAAAAAAGAAGATTTGAGAGTTCATTTTCAATGCGAAACAAGAAAATAATGTCTTAATAGAAGATAGTTTATACTAAGGAGTGATAATATATCATAATTCTTATTCACTTTTTTCATATTACAGATGGAAATAAATAATAACTTCGATATGTATTTGCTCGTAATAATAACATTTATTTCAAAACAGATAGCATTCGACAAGGTAAAATGGGAAAACATACGTTTACGACGTGTAAACTAGTTTTTTAATTATTATCTTATTTAAATTAACAGAAGCTAATTGCAGTAGTCCTAAAACGTTGACATTCAGATTGAGCAATATAGTAATGACGCGCATATTAAACAATGACAAATATTTCTACATTTAAAGCAGTTTATTGCACGAGTGGTCTTTATCTAACTAGATGACCTATTAAGGCATCTTAAATGCTAGCTGCAAATGTAATTAGACCATCAATCTCGGCGTTCTTTGAACGATTCTGGCAATTACAAAAAATCTGTATGCATATTATATAACCATCCATAAGAAGCGAATAAAATAATGCTTCAATGTGTGTGTAATTATGAAATACGCGATAGTTACTAATGAGACGAGATTGAAGATTTTGGGAATTGAACCTCCTTTAACGGGCACACACTTAATATATTTTGTAGTAATACAAGCATTAACAAAAATTTGAGTTTGTTTACTAACTCCTGACTGACTGTAAGTCCTATCCTGTCCTTAAGAAGGGAGCAAAAAGTAGGCTCTAGTAGGTATGGCAAGCAATACCCAGTATTTTGTCTTTTCAATTGTCGTGATAATTTAGACATGATATTATGAGCAGTCGTTAAAAGTGCGATCTTATTTAAAAAGTCGGTTTTTAAAAGAAAATAAATAAAAACAAAAGTTTCTATTTAAGGCTTTTTTTATATATATATATATGAAACACCACTCATTTCAATGAAATTTTGCAAAATATTATTATCGCTTATTAGTCCTTGTTCAATAGTAAGTGAGCTGCAATGATAAGAAAGTGAAGTTCTCGCCTTCAGCATGACAAGTCTTAACTTCAAATGCCGTTGAAAGTGGCCGAATATCATTGATTTAAATGGACACAGGAATTGTATCTACCCCGCGATGATTTTACTTGTCCATATAACAAAAGATCGCTATACTATATAGGTATGAAGTTAGTTTTATGATGAGAGTGAATGACGTTCGCATCCAAGGCACTTTATTTGTAGAATCGCAGTAAAGATAACACAGGAATCCGCAAATAGCAGTATCGTATATCGGATATTTATAAACCGATATAGGAAAATTCTAACAGGTGCGGGCTCCGTTTTCCATTGGAAACGACAAAATAATTTACTATAGAGATAAGACGTGCAGAGATAAAAAACAGTTTCGAGTGCAGATTACGATTAGTCATTAGTACTCTACGAGTTACGTGAATGAATGCGCGTTTCTGAAAATGTTGCGTTTACTCAGTGTTGTGGGATTTCTTTCATTCGGTAAGATTATTTTACTATCAAGACGTTACAAGTGAGAAAATCGAATTTACATTATTCAGGTAACAACAAGAACATTATCAGATCTTATAAATACGATAATGTAATTTCGTTATACAAATGCGTCCGCGCATGCTCCGCGGAGTTTATTTATGCTTAGGTTATGTTAATGGTCGGTAACTGTGCCAGGCCCGTAGGTTTCGCTAGCGTTATTTTTCGTTATAATTCGGTTAGGTACTCAAACTCAGGCGTCACTCTTTCTCAAATTTATTGGAAGGCGCTTCAAAATTAAACCTGGAAATGGTAACCGGCTACTAGAAATTATCATTATTTGAATTTGTACGTCAAGCAGCATGACTTTCTAGTAAAAAAAACAGCTAATGTTGCTATCGTAGCTTAGCAATGTCTATCATAAGCTACATTGACAAAATTTTATCAAAACTGATTAAGCCGTTAGGTAAAGAATTATTCACTAAATCATAATCAATTAAACCCGAGTATGAAATTAATTTCTCCTAAGACAATACAGAAAGTATGTTTATCGTAGCATCTTATCTGCAGTAACACTAACCCAAATTCAAAACAAGTGAAGATCATAATATCGGCCCACGCGCCGCCGTGTCGACACACCGTACTTAGATATTATGACAATGTAAATGCGATTGTCAACAGATTGAATAAATATTTATTAGACTGTGGTTTCCTAGAAAGGCAGGAGAAAGGTCGCGATACGCAATGATAAGAATCCATGTTGGCTTGTTGGATCCTATTGGTCAGTAGATCGTGTTATGGGGGGCGCCCCCCTTCGGGGGGGGGGGGGGGGGGGGGGGGGGGGGGGGGGGGGGGGGGGGGGGGGGGGGGGGGGGGGGGGGGGGGGGGGTTGGGGGGGGGGGGGGGGGGTGGGGGGGGGGGGGGGTTTTCCCCCCGGGGGGGGGGGGGGGGGGGGGGGGGGGGGGGGGGGGGGGGGCCCCCCCCCCCCCGGGGTGTTTTTTTTAAAAAAAAATTTTGGGAGGAAAAAAAAAAAAAAAAAAAATTTTTTTTTAAAAAAAAAAAAAAAAAAAAAAAAAAAAAAAAAAAAAAAAAAAAAAAAAAAAAAAAAAAAAAAAAAAAAAAAAAAATCCTTTTTTTTTTTTTTTTTTTTAAAAAAAAAAAAAAAAAAAAAAAAAAAAAAAAAAAATTTTTTTTTTCGGGGGGGGATTTCCCCGGGGGGGGGGGGGGGTTTAACTTTTTTTCCCCCCCCCCGGGGCCCCAACCCAAAAAAAAAAAATTACCCTCCAACCTTTGGGCCCCAACCAAAATCCCGGCCAAAATCTTAGCCACAATTTTCGCCAATATCTTCGCCATCGTGTAGAGCCGTCATTATAAATACATCACAAACGCAACAGATGTCGTTTACGATGCAATAACAAGAGATTCTATGCATAGGAAGGAACCAACAGAAATAGGTATGACTGGTGACTTGATCATACATTGACTAGGTACCTGGCAATCGTTACTTGGCCATTTGAAATATTTTGACCAAAATTTTAATACCTTTTTTCCGAGTTAATCTTAACAGATAGACATATACTGTCGCTGACATTTTTTTTAGATTATTTAATGAGCAATATTTTTTTCAAATATATTTTTTGATAGTTTGAACCGTTTTCGCAACGAACGCCCTGAAATCTTAAAAAATGTATATTGTTCTTCCACATTTCCCACTATTTCGTCGTTCTTAATAATTCCTCGTATGACGTTTGACACAAAATAATTTTTAAACTTAGTATTCAATACCAACCAGTAGTTGAGGTTCAAACATTAACATTGATACGGCGTACGATACATTTCTATAAGGGCATAATTCTAAATGCTATATACAGCGTTTATAGGAGACCACAGTCTAAGCGGTAGTTGCGATGAGACCAGCTCCATTGTGTAGTAGCGGGCGGTTACCGGACAGGAACGGGATACACCGTGATGTAATGCTTTTTGTTCTATTTGGTGTTGCAACTATTAAACCTATTGTAAACAATTGATGTTCTTTTCATTGTTAAAGAAGTCTCGTTTTCCCCACCTGTGCGCGCGGGCACATTTTTAACAGGTTAAGGAAACATCTAAATTATTTGGGAATTTAATATTGTTAAAGTGACAGTTTTGTTACGTAACGCGTAACATATAAATTATCACTCCCTCTCTTTTTCATACTATAGTAATTAAATAAAAATAATTAATATATATTAGATGCTTATTATTTAAATATAGAAATAATCTTTATTAATTTTTTTGAAATGATTGATGTCAATTTGTCGATTTCCAAAATCCAAAGCCAAAATAGGTCAACAGCGCACCTTGCTTAGGGTATTATATGGCTGCGGTATTTCACCCACCATCACGTGAACCCCAAGCTTTTCTGTCCCCCTCTATCATTAAATCTAAGCCTCAATACATTTCACACCTCACGACGTTCTGAACCACAACCTATTTTCATCTTTATTCATAAGCCCAATTATAATAGTCACAAAATCAAAATGATAAGACGTTTCTGTGGCAGTATAATATCCCATAGGTAAATTTTCATACGGTACTCGCACACAGCGACGCGAAAAACTCTCTTCTCCAATAATAACAGTCTGTGGAAGCGTTCCGTCGAATTGATCGGCGAAATGGCGCGAAACTCCGGGAAAATGACATATGATTGCGGTGTTTAAAACAAACGTAAGTGCACACCGAAGCGACCATTATGCGGTGAAGTATGTCGATCAGTTACGGGCAAAAGGCTACTCAAAGCAGTTCACGCTACCATAATGTTAGAAGTTCAAGTCGTGTGTATCTAATCTACAGTTTATTACCTAGTCTTCGAGATTAAAATTGATTTACACTCTGCTTTTTATTTTCACGTTGCTTTCTCTCACTGGAGAAGTTCAGCTAACCTTTCATTCTACTGTTATTCTACTGTTGTATGCTGTAAAATTAAAAATACCGCCCTACATCCCCAAATGGGATTCGAATCTTACACCTTGTAATCCACAGTATAGTCATGTAGGCAAGTAATAATACTATTGTGGTACAAGTACAAGGAATATTAAGCAGTTTAGCTTATATTAGCTCGAGTTAATGAAACATTTAGATTACAATATTGAAAACTAAAAACAAATGAAGGTGGCACTTTTAATATACCTATGGTTAAATATACGTATAACATTGTTACAATATAACACTAAGTAAGTAATTAACTAACTTGATACCAGCAACCAAATATTACCAGTTAATAATATAATCAAATAATTTTTCTCACATATGATCGATAAGCATTCATATTGGAAAGATAAATATTATCACTTAATATCTTTACAATGTTTGTTAAATATTGACAAAGGTATGCGTGCACGACGAAGAAACGTGAACAAATAAGTGGTAATTGTAAAACAATAAATGGATAATGTCTATTAATAAATATATTATTGATATCGTATTTAATTGTTATTATTTATGGAAGTATGGTATATCAAACTTTGAAAACTTAATTTTTTACGTGTACACGTCATGATTAACCGGCATCAATAGCGATGTTGTTACTCTAAACATGTGAGCTACAGTGTCTCACAAGTCGTAATCGAAATTTTTGAACCTCTCACGCACTGTGATTTGAACCTTATCACTTCAATTACACTGGCACAGTGATTCGAGAACCCGAAAACTTTAGCTAAGATATCGGACGTCAAACATTGCCCACACTATTCTAATCATCGGTGTTTCGTTTAGTAACATCAGAAAGCTGTTTCAATCATAGATGTCTTACGTGCCATCCCCAAGAAACAATATGGCCAGGAAATCGTCAAGAATGTGACCCCTCCAACTGGGTGACAGCGGAATGGGTTCACAATTTAGGACACCCACCACCCCGAACTGACTCCAAGATTAATATAGAAATGCGCTGCCTTAAAATGGTAGCGACGCCGGATGATAAGTCTTGTAAGTATTTGTACTGCTTTATATTGTATATTGAGTTTTTGATAGAATTATGCTATGAGTACGGCCTTAAAACCGTATTTCGGAGATCTATGTTACAACCAGACTGTAAAATACTGCCTGTATTTTACGCGAGTAGTACACATTTAAATGAAACAATTTAACGGTTCCAAACAAGATATATTTTAGTTAAACTTGTTATTAAATTATTTATATAGAATATTTTTTACAGAGCTCCAAATAAAGTATTTTAGGCTACTAGAAAGATCAGGTATAATGTCTCCTACGGTATTTGAATAAAACACTTTAACGGTTTAAAACACGATATATTTTCAACTAAACTTATTTGAAAATATCTCCCCGTGACCACGGCGGCTGCAAAGCATCCAAAACGTTGGGCCGTAGTTAAAAATCATTTCCAAATATTTTTAAATAATATATATCGCGGTTTAAACCATTAAAGTGTTTTATTTAAATGTATACTACTCGCCTAAACTACAGACAGTATATAAGTAATGTATTATATAAAACCATTTTACCTTATTTATTAATCAAAATCATGTATCATCAAAATCTTGTTGTGCTTTTGTATCTTTTGAGACAGAGAAATACAAGAAATAACCATATTTTTGTAAGAAATAATATAAAGTGTGACAACAGATGAACGCAAGTCAGTCCGATATCAAAGCGTAATGTGCATAAATGTTAAATAATCTTATTTCAGTTGGCAACACAGTAGATGTGATAAAAGGCTGCGTGCCAAAGGTCCAGGTGGATTCTGTCTGCCTCGGGCTGTTAGCTGTAGAGCGCGCGAGAGGCCACAGCGACGCACGGTGCTTCATATGCAACGGGAACGACTGCAACACATCATCACACACCTATGCGACTACTACGCCGATACTACTCCTCATTTTGTACTACGTACTGAGATGAACGTACAGCCTTATTGTATAGATATTGTTAACGTATGCGAGTTCCATACGATTTAGCCATTGATACTTGTTATCATAATAAGATAATGATGAAATATTTTTTATAGCTATAATAAATTGAACAAAAGTGTTGCCGTATATTTCGAGGTTCTCTTGAACTAAACGTCGGGATGTCGGTGTCTATATATAAAGGCTGGAAATAATTTACTTTTATAGTACATAACAGCGGCACAAGGGGGGTATTGCTAGACGAACGCGTGAATGAAAGTAAGTAAGCGTAAAGCGTAAGTCCATCAATTCCTTGTTGCGGGCAAGGCTTGTTTAGTACTTTTTTTAAGAAATTATAACTAAGTACCATTAAGAACTTAAAGCCAATGACGAAGTTGACAATAACACCAAACGCGCCAAAGTATTATTTTTTCATTAAACATTTGCAAAATGAAAGCCAGTTTGAAAATTAAATGAATCATCTGTTACCTCTTTGGTCGCCACGTTGCGGAGTAGAAAATCGTTCCATTTTTAAATTTAATTATCGCATAGAACATTGTCAAAATAAGACTCAAATTTCCAAGCATGATTCAAAAAAATTATATTGTCTGTAACGACACCAATTGACCGAATTAAACAACTAACAAGTCAACTGAACACCAACGATATCTTGTCCTTTATACCTTTATATTGTAGCTTATTGCGTGTATTGACAATATATATATTATATTTAAGCCACAAAAAAATAGTTCATAATTCTTAAAATAAATAAGTACATATCCAAAACAATGCGAAAGAGACACGGTTAGTAGTTATAGATAATGTAACATAAGATTAAATGTGTATTACTCGCGTAAGACAATACTCTATTTATAGCTCAATTGATATTAATGATTGTAATAAAACGATAAACACTGTTAATTGTCTTTTATTGCTTTTTATAAAATTATAAAAGTGCCAGTTACCTTAAGATTATTCAAAGCACCGTCGAGTTATATATGTTCTAACACAACCAATGTTATATAAAAATTACAAATTAGACTAGATAAATGCGTTTAGTCTTAACAGCATGAGAACATACTTGGAGCCTCAAGAATATTACTGCAAGTGTACTATAATATTGTAAATGTACTATAATATTTTTTATCTCAAATAGAAATTTTACCTCTATAATTTAAACTTACGATATATGCTTAAGTATAGTCAATTCCTCTCTGAGTAAAACATCATTTCATAAAAACATACAAAATCTTAAAGCTGTTAATAGTTTAACAAAAAATAGGTATGTAGTAATAATCATCGTTTTACAATTAAAACAGTAAGATCTAAGTTGGGTTTTATTATATATATAAAATAAATTAAGCAATGAGATTGTTTGCTTATAAGAAATAATACAGTATGAATATTTTTTCGTGGTTCATAGATATTTTGTTCAGCCACTTGAGATTCACATGTAGACTTATTACATACAATTTAAACGCTATAGTTAAAGTGAATCCAGTAATAATTAAAAAATCTCGCTGTTAATAACAGCAAAATAATAATATAAAACTTTCTACTCGACAGTTCGTAGTAAATTAAAAAAAGTGGGTAGTTTTATGAAATTCATACAACAAAAATGTAAAAGCGTCCCAAAAATATACATTATCACTTTATTTAATACTTTCATCAGATCTTGATTATATTGATACTTTCAGTTAAACTATGAGATTAATATAACATTTAAATGTAGTTAATGTAACCTATAAATGTTAATCACAGATTTAAAATATCTTTTTTAGAAGTCAGAATGTCTGAATACTTTAGTTATATTATATATAATGATATGATAAGAGATAATTAATGAAGTGAGTTAAATTTACAGATATACAATAAAGTATCTGTTAAGTGTTAAGTTTTCTTGTATTTCAATTTCACGAGTATTTATTTGTTATCGTAGTGTCAGTTATTTGAAAGTTATAAAATTCTAAGTTCCGAATTAATTTTTCTTGTGATCATTGTCCGTTTGATGCTCGAAATGGGCATTCCCCTTTACAACTGATTCATAAAATATTAAAAAAAATACATAATAAACAGCGTTATATATAACTTTTTTGTACAAGTATCACATCACCGCCAAGGCACACGTTCAAAATGCCAAATCTGGCCGTTGTCGTTGACGCACCTCTTTGCTGTCAAAGGGTCATTGATTCCGTCTTTGCTGTCACTTATTAACTGAGTCAGACATAACCCATCCTGCGTCTTCAATCGAGGTCCTTTCTGGTTCCATATTTGCTTTTTACTGTCGTTACAACTTTTCCATACCGCCCTACCGTTGCCTTGCTGTAAACATAATCCTTCATCAGCCATGATCCTACCATCCGGGGTGTAGACAAGTAATCGTTCTACATCCAGGTCACCTCCACAACCTACACCAGCCGCTGGTCCTCCGAGCCCCGGAGTACCAGAGACAACCCCGAGGCAACTACCTTTTTCATTACGTATCCGACCAAACCACCTGTCATCAGCCGGGAAGAAATGTTGAGGCCACACGTTATCCAAATACCATTTAAAGCTTTTGCACTGTAAATTCTTCCTGAGTTCTATTCTAGCCGCGACACTTTGTTGATCTCGTATCGCTGCAATAGACGGGTTAAATTTGAAGAAGAAATCTGCCCACTCGTCCATCCAGACAGACGCAGCGCGCGCCAGATTTGAGTTCAAAACCTTGGCAACCCCTCCGGGGTACTTATAAGGACTGTGCCTTCTAAATATATGACCGACTCGCGAACACGGCGTAATCTCCACCCGCGCACCACACTGCCAAGCCCGCCATGACAGTTCTAGGTTTTCCGCCCCCCAAATTGTCATATTTTCATCATAACCCCCCAATCTCCAGAAAAGACTCTTTCGGACGGCAAAGAGACCTCCAGCCATGGCTGGGGTCGGATAGGGTTTGGAGGGGTTTTCCGTTTTGGTCAACATGACTTCTTTGCTGGGCATAAGCCACCGGAAGTGAAGTCGCCAACTAAACGCGCCCCAGTGGGCGTCGATGCTCTTTGTGTATGCCAGCGTATCGTCAGACAAAAGGTCTATGTGTGGACAAATGAATACGTCGTCGCTTCCGGCCCGGTCTAACAGAGGCTCCAGCCAGCCTTGCGTTACCTAAATCAAAAAGATATTAAATCACGGCCTTGTCTGTACCCAATGTCATCCTGTATTAACCTTAAAAAATACGGGACAAACAAAAACATATTGTCACCACAAAAATATTACAAATCGATACAAGATTCAATTTGATTAAATTACAAAAATATGTAGCGAGAAGCGGCGGCCTCATCGCTAACAATCAATTACTTTTAGGCAACCTTGAAGCTGGAGATTTACAATAATAATTCACAATTTAGTTGTACTACTCCTGCTTTCGTGTATATTGGATATCTATAATACCCTAACAATTATTTAAAACATGGATATAAAAAATACTAACCTCACAATGAGCATCAAGAAACACTAGCACATTGCCAGTCGCGGCTCTAGCACCCATGAGCCTCGCACCAACCAATCCCGTCCTATTCGCACTTCGCAAGATTTGTACCTTTCCCAAGTTTACAATGGCATTCTCTAGTTCTTTCCCGAGATATTTTCTCTCGCTCGCATCGTCTACTAAAATAATCTGAAACATTTCGGTATAATAATAAATAATACTTCACTGTGTAAAACGTGAACGTGTAGACTGTGGTAAAGTATAGAAAAATTCAAAACTAACATTTTATTATCTCAATTTCTTGCACTACTTTTACACAACACATTAACATGAATAATGTTAGTTAACTACTAACTATTAATCTCATTCAAGTATTAATGAACCTTAGTAGAAATTATTAATTTCCAATAATAATAATTCCCATAAATAACTGCAATATATAAAATAAAGCAATATGAAATTGTGTATTTAGCTAACACGGCTCACACTAATTGTTTGGTTATTTATTTTCTAATGTGTAGTGTTTATAACTCACTTGTTTCAATAATACTTCTGGGGACCTTAATAAAACAGACATCAAGGTTCTCATAAGCGTAGACCATGCTTCATTATGAAAAACTATTATTACAGTAGCAGTTGGTAGATTTTCTATATCATATTGCACATTCCTGCAACTGAGAAAAAAATATTATAACACAGAATACTATGAAATATATAGAAAGTATAATCTAAGAATGAAAACGTTTTTCTATTCTAATTTTCTCTCCATGCATCATAGTTAAAACGCGTTGCTCAACCACGCAAATTTAGGCAAAGCAAAGACCAAAACAAAACAGTAACATGTGTGTCAACAGAGCTTAGCAATGCATAGGTACACATACGTTAGGATAGTATGATTAAGTTCCGACACTTGTTACATTGCTGTTACAGACATGAATATTATGTCTGATCCACACCCAATAACAGAAACAAGACAAAGCCGTGTCAATGCCTTACCTCTCACTTCTCATATCTGGCAAGCTTCTATTAATTGATATTCTATCACTAACAAGTATATTATATGAATGTAGTGGGTACAGCTCCCGAGCTGTAATAACTTCTCTCGGTGACAGTTGGACTGGTCTACCACCTTCTCCTGCACCAGATATGGGTGCGTAATTGTTGCTATTAATAGTATCTAAAAGAAAGTTGTGTGTTATGTAATTAGCAGTATTACTTGAAGTACTATTACAGTAGAAGAAAGATTTCTATTTAAAAAAAAACGGTTTTTTTGTTTTATAAGACAATGAATAATATATATTTAGATGTTAACTCTGACGTTTATTGAATATGTTTCTAGATAATGTATACATACCATCACTTAAATTCCCTCCAGAATTTCCACCAACATAGTGTCCAACAACAACTCTCATTCCACTGTTATCAACATATGAGTCTTGATCAAACTGTAATCTGGAAAACGTTTCAAGAGTAGGTAAATTGCAAAAAAAACTTTACTTAAATACACTTATATTTGTAGAAATGGTTTATATTATAATACTTGCACTTGCTCTCAAACATATTTGCCCATAATTCCAATAAAAAATAAAAACATGGTTATTGTTGGTGTTCAATTCCTATTTTTGTTAATAATACCAAATGAGTAAATAAAGGACATAATATATGTTCAAGCCTTCATTTCAACTTATATGTTTGTAATTATAATTATAATACTGTAAATTTGATGCCTTTTAAACCTTGATTTTATCTAAGAAACTATTTAAGGGATTATCTGTATTCTATTTTTTTTTTGTTTTCAATTCCATATAATATGTTACTGTGATAATTTTGCTTGTTTCCTGTTTTCTTAAATAAATAAATATAAGTGAAACTGAAAATACATATAATAATGTACACATTTATTATAGAAAATAGAAACTATTTATAATTCACAGTTGATCAGAGAAAAAAATTTGGGCCATTATAGGTGTATATTAATATTATCATATGGTACATTTAATGCCAGGAGTAACAATGCAACTAAATTAATTAAAAAACTTGCTTTATGGTGTTCAAACTTTACCTCTCATGCCAAGCTTTCTTATTCCTCTTCTGAATAGTTGTGTATAATAAAAAGCTTACATAAAACATAGCATTTAATAATACTAGAAAAAGTAATAAAAGACTGTAGAACTTTTTCCTGCGGCCCCTACAAAAATAACTCCAAAACTGTAATTTAAAACGAAATAATATTATTCCTTTTAAGGATTATTATTCACATAAATTCACATAATAATTCTACATTAACTTTACTTACATTTCTTACCATGGCTTTAAAATTGCAAGCACAGCTAAATATATTCTGCGCTATCAAAGGGGCTTTAATTATCTATTAGATATAATCATGCTTTATACAATTTCTACAAAAGCTTTAAGCTTAATAAAATAATACTCATGTATTGAAATTTTACGGCTAACTAGCTTTTCTGTCACATTTTTAGTTTTGTAAATAGTGCAAATTACTATAAACGATGACTATTGACTATGCTTAGTATTTTATTGCATCTTCAATCAATTGTTATTTAAAATAACACATACACATAACTGCTATTTATATTTATTTTCCATCTTATAATGTTCAAATATTAATGTTTATAATGCTGAAAATTATTTTAATAGTTATTTACTTTAAATTATATTAAGTTTTTACTGTTAAATGTCATATAATCTGTCAATTGTCAGTTATAACAAAACCATATGATTTAAAAAAATTGTCATTTTAATATTTACCTCCCTTAAGCCTATCCTCGATTTTCGAGATTCAAATGTATTTTAATGATAAGTTCTATAAAAATATTCAATGAATTCATTTAATTAATTTAACCATACTCTAGTCACTAGGTTTTTAGGATTTATCTTGTAAATATTTCTGTGATCATTGTCAAAAGCAAAATGTACGTATGATATTTAATTAATAAATGCATGCATTATTATATTTCTGCCCTATTGTCTTCACCTCCTCCCTACAATCCCCCCTTAATTACTTTGGCGAGATCTTGGAATTTAGTAAGTGATAGTAAAGCCACGTTGTTTATAGACAAATTCGATTATATAAAAACGAAACCAGAAGTGTATCCTCTGCATGCTTTTATTAAGAATAACGTAAGGAAACGTGGGATAGATAATATTATTTGCAGTTGATAATGATAGCTTCAAAACTGAATAAAAATGCTCTCATTTATAATTTTTGGTGCAGAAAATATGTCTAATTTCCGTGGACGTGGTTTAAAAAATTTCGGAGGCAGAGCATTTCAAGGAGGTAGGAGAAGTAGAGGTACTTATAATGGCCGACCTGCTGGCTTACGAGGTAAAGAAATTGGATTGTATTATAAGAATAAAGGAAAAATGGATAGGGTGGTAAGTTAATTTCTTATACTTATAATACTATTATTTTGCTGTGTAAAACATTTAATGTGGTGTGTTTTTTTTTTTATTTTAAAAGCCATTTTTACTACCTTAATACCTTGAACGATTTCATAACATTACAGATAAATCTAAAAATACCTACTCAAATTTTGTCAGCTGTAAATGATAATTTAAAGCTGATTGAATCAATTGCTAACAAAGAGAACATTTCCTTAGAACTCCTCAAAAACACTTTGTTCGAAGATTTTAAAAGACCAAGGATAGAGACAGTTAAACATAGAAAAATTCATTGTGATGATATGATCCTAGATAAAAGGAGAAAGGATACAGATTTGGTTTTTAAAAATAATACTCAAGGAGATATGAGTGTTGAAACTGTCAATTCAGATGACAGTGATGAAGATTTTGATATTAAAGAATTTAATAAGCTTGATGAGGGGAACATTAAGCTCAATAATGAAATGAAAATAATTGAAGAAGACATTATAGCTGGTAGTTCAAGTATGCCAGACTTTATTCCTATCTATGACTCACCATCTACTGAAGATCATTATATCAGAGAAAAGTTGCTTTCTCTAAGGGAAGAGCGTCATTTCAAATATGGTTACTATGATATAATTACTGGGACATTTCAAGATAAACTGGATGAAAATTTATCAAACGGTATTCAAATTACATGCACTAATGCTGAAATAAGTAGATTAAATAATGAGCTTTATGAAGAACATACTGAAATGCTAGAAAAACCTGTTTATAGAAAGATGTTAGAGTTTCGAAAAATTCTACCAGCTTTCAAGAAACAAGAAGATATTCTGGATGTCATTGATAGAAATCAAGTGATTGTTATTAGTGGTGAGACTGGCTGTGGAAAATCTACACAGGTAATTTTTTTTTTTATTAAAAAAAAAATATATTTAGTACATTGTTAAAGTTTCTTAAATGTGATAAATGACCAAATAAATTTATACACAAAGACTCGTACAATAAAGTCTATTTTTAATTAATATTAAAATCACAAGCTTCTTTCTACCTTCATAAAAGTTATCCTTTTAGATCCCTCAACTTATTTTAGATAAGGCTATGCGCAACAAAAAGGGTGCGAATGTTAGGATACTGGTAACACAGCCACGCAGAATTGCAGCATCTTCATTGGCCATAAGAGTGGCGAATGAGAGAGCTGAGAATCTTGGCAAGTCTGTTGGATATAGTGTTAGACTTGAAACGTGAGTAGATACTTTTTATATGCCGATCAATTTATGCAATGTATGTTACAAATACATTTAAAATCTGTTGGTAACTTCATTGGACCATCTGTGTCTTCTTAGAAGTACTTTCTACAACCCTATTTATAAAATTGGATATTTGGAATACTAAGCTTTTTTCACGAGAGCGCACGGACGCACAGTGATTTGGACTTTAAAACATTACAGTAATTTTTTATAATCATATAATTATTAAGTTTTTTTTATACTTAAAATTAATAATTTTCAGAGTAGAAACACGACCCCGTGGGAGTATAATGTACTGCACTACAGGTGTTTTATTAGTTGAGCTTGAGGTGAACCAAGCTCTGTCAAACTTTAGTCATATTATATTAGATGAAGTGCATGAAAGAGATACTCATGTTGATTTGGCGATGTGTATGTTGAAACAGGTACTTCCTATTTTCATATTTCAAGTTCATATAGATTTGTTTATTCTTAGTTAGTTACAAATAAGATAATAACTAACATAACTAATTCTCGTTACAATAATTGCAGATATTAAAAAAACGTAAGGACCTTAAACTGATTTTAATGAGTGCAACCCTTGATGCCGATGTGCTGTCCATGTATTTCGACGACTGCCCGACTCTTCAAATCGAAGGCCTTGCCTATCCCGTCAAAGATATATATCTGGAAGATATCCTAACATTAACAAACTATCGTCTTCAAACTCGAAAAGAGAAAAAGCAACCTATATGGATGAAATATAGGGATAAGGGTCGAAGGTTTATGGAAGACGAAATGGTCCGAGACATTAGATATAAGGCGGAAATTGGTGGGTATTTATTTATTTTAACATATCTCACTCAACAAAAGGCCATTTTACAAGCTTCGAGTCTTCACTAATAATACACTCACTTTCGTTAGCAACAGTTAATATGTTTCTCAGAAGCAAATATTAGCTTAATAAACTCTTAAAAATCAGTCTTCTATATGGAGAAATATATATTTCTAAAAAACTAAAAACTGATTTAGATAACTTATTTTCAGCACCCTGGCTTGAATCAATAAAAAAAAAGATACCATTTGAAGTCTACAAGACGTTGCAGGACTCGAGAATTGAAGATTTAAACATAGATTTGATAGTATATCTTCTTATATACATTTGCAAAGGAGACCCTGGGGCGATACTGGTATTTCTCCCCGGTATTGGCGATATCACCAAGCTTATTAGGCTAATGGAAGAAAGTGGACAATTCAATAAAAATACATGCGAAATATATCCGTTACATTCGAAGTTGGCAACACTAGAACAACATAGAATTTTTGAAAGGCCGCGAGATGGCGTTCGAAAGATCATATTGGCCACTAATATAGCTGAGACGTCTATAACGATAGATGATATAGTGTATGTGATAGATTGTGGGAAAATTAAAATTAATGGTTTGAACGTTGAGGAGAATATTTCGACTTTGAACGTTGAATGGGTGTCTAAAGCTAATTTACACCAAAGGTGAGATAAACATTTATTTTTATGCTATGATTAGCTTATTACATATAAAAAATATATATTTCTTTTCATTCACGTCAGATAAGAACTGGCTAAAAATCTATATGTATTCGATTGTTATTCATAATACACTTCTTTTAAAAATCACTTATAAATGATCTTGTAGGAATTAGGTCTATGTTGAATGAAATATTTATTATGCGAATGAAATCAAATGATTTGTTTAAGATTTACCTTAACAGGTAATGTAGCTTGCGTAAAAAAATGTATAAATTAGTTCAGATTCATTACCAATCGCGCAGCAAACATAGTGGCTTGAAGGGCTACAGAATTTTGACAGATAATAAGCTGGGCCACGCCAGTAGAGAGCTGCAAAAGGACTATATTATTTGTATGTTTATTATGACAACATTTTTAGACGTGGTCGCGCTGGCCGCTGCCAACCAGGTATTTGCTATCATTTAGTGACGTCATACCGTGCCCAGACGCTTGCTGATCGTCTCCTGCCAGAACTACAAAGGAGCAACTTATTAGAGCCAGTGTTAACAGTTAAGAAGTTACGACTAGGCTTAGCTCTTGAGGCTTTCCAGATGGTTCCATCGCCGCCGGCTGAAAAGACCGTTAATTGGGCAGTTCGGCATTTACAAAAGTGAGATATTTCATTTTATAACATACAATATAAAACAATAGCAAGAAAAATTAAGGTACAAACAATACAACAAATATCAGAACTTATATAAGTAGTTATCTCTTTTTTTATTTAAACGAAAGACAAGGACGGGCAATTTTTTGAAGAAATTGACAAAAAAATTACAATCTGAGAGCCAATTCATTATATGAATATTTATTGTGCTAATTTACCATAATTGTGCAGATTTTTTTATTCAATATTTTTTTAGATGCGGTGCTTTAGACGAGAAAGAGACGCTCACACCGCTAGGATGGCATCTGGCGCGGTTACCAGTGCACCCGGCTGCTGGGAAATTGTTGCTTTTGGGATCCCTGTTTGGTTGCTTGGACCGAGCTGCTAGCGTTGCAGCTGTGTGGAGTTTCAAGGACCCATTTCAACTTGTCATAGGTATTATTTTACACCAATATAAGGTTAACGTTAACAAACAAAAACGTTTGTTCATGGTTGTGTGTCATCTGGATGCAATATTAGTAGATAACATTTTACAATCAATTGATTAATGAGCTTACTTTGTTTTTATTTTAAATAGTATATTTTGTTGTGTATATGTCTGTATAACCTAAAACACACACTCCATCTTAAGATCCCCGTGACAACGGCTGCCACAATGCAAACGAAACGTCATACCGTAATTAAAATAATGTGTAAATTTGATTAACTAATTATTTACATTTTTTCTTTATACAATTTACAGGTAAAGAATCTGAAACGAAAGCTGTAAAGCGAACACTAGCAATGGGCGAACCGAGTGACCACGTGGCTATTTCCGAAGCCGTAATGCAATGGGAGAACTGCAGTAAAAGGTGCTTGAGATAAGACATTACTAATAACGTCCACTAATGTCTAATTAAATATTACACGATAAACTTTAAATACTCCTTTGTGGTATGCTAAGAATTTTGAACTGAAATAAACTAGACCTACAATTTTCCTAAACTAGTAATTAATAAATACATGACATACCTAAAATGTTCTGGAAATTGTTAAACAAAGGCTAAAGTAAGTCACTGGAGTTAATTTTGGTTCCCAACAGATTTTCTCTTATTTATCAAAATATTATGTCTTTGAATTAATAAATTACTCTTAAATTACAAGAGTATTTTAACTATATATTGTTACAAGGAAACATAGATATTAGTATTTTTGAGAATGATTTTTATTAATACCATAATTTATAAAATTTTAGGGAGCAAAGATCTTTTGCATATGAGAACTATCTATCCAATAACACATTGGAACTGCTTGTTGACATGAAGAAACAATTAGGACACAATCTCAAACAGATGGGATTCCTGTCTAGCGGGGATGTGCAGTCGCACTGGGAAAATAGAAATTGGAACAATTTGAGTCTTTTTAAAGCGATTGTTGCTGCATCGCTTTACCCTAATATTGGACAAGTGCAGTAAGTTATAAATTACAAATCTCTTTTAAATTGTAAAATTTGGTACCATGTTTGGGAACCTACTCTTCCAATAGAACCAGCTATATCCCTTCACTCATCAACAAATTTGATAAATCCATTTTTGCATCCCTCGCGCAATTTTATTTTAACCTTAAGCATTAAGGCTGAGTTCATGTAATTTAATAATTTCACTTCATTGCTACAACAGTTTTAATTAAATCAGAATCTTTAATATATTTATTCCCAGCTGGCGTAACCTCAGGAGTTTTAAAAAACCACCATCTATGGTGGCCTTCTGCCCAGAAGATGGCAAAGTAAAAATCCATCCAAGCAGTGTAATGGCAACCTCAAGTGGTAGAAAACCTAACCCAAATGACCTTTTATGCACCAGCCCTGGTGCCAATTGGCTGGTTTACTGGCTCAAACAGAAGTCTTCAGATCTCTTCGTAATTGATGTTACTCTAGTTTATACATTACCATTGCTGTTCTTTGGAGAATTCATGGTTAATGATGGTGAGTCTATAAAACATAGAAGATGAAACAGAAATATTACTTGTGTAAATAATATTTATAGTGGCTTGACGTCCATATTCATACTTAGTTCACTACATGAATTGTTTTTGCTAACTACTTTGTTTACAGATCCTGAAAACCCAGATAATTGTATAATGTCTATGGGAAAGGATATCAATGTGCGATGCAATAAAATATCAGCCAATAGTATTTTAAAACTCAGGTTTTTGCTGGATCACGTCTTGGCTAATAAAGTGATGGTAACCAGTACACATTCAGTGAAGCACAGCCAATTTGAAGAGGAGGTGTTGAAGTAAGTGAAGTAAAAGAACATAACAATATCTTTAAAAGATCTTCTCCCTCCAATTTTCACCTGGTTTTATATCATTGTTTATAGGCATTAACTTTTGGGGTTGAATTTTAATTCTTATTTTTTCATTAAAGTAAGGCTTCAAACAGAGAGACTTTAGATTATTTTTTAATGTTGAATTAGGTCGGTAAATATTAGTAACAACAATAATATTATTTAATCACTATTCTACAAAGAAGAATACCTTTAGTTTAAATACAAATGACTAATATTTAATTTATTTTTAGTACTGTGATACAACTAATAACAGCAGAAGACGAACAAACAGAATATATTGATGACGATTTGTCTGAAGCTTCCGATGACAACGCCTTTCGTTGAACTGTAGAACCAAAATCTTTGCAAAACGTACTTTACGTATTTTATTTAAATAGATACCCTACAAAGATTGTAAGTTAAAAAAAAAAACAATAAAATCCTTAATAATTAGTTTTCTTTTATTTAACCCCCTATCTCTAGTTGGATTCGAATATGCGCGGGCGCAACATTTGACAGTATGTAAACAAATGACATTACAAATACTCTTATCAGTTGACACTGACGTTGTTATCTGTTTTGACCTTGTAATTAACTAAATAATATTAAAATAAAGGTACATACACAATGTTTTAATTAGTAAAACATAATACATACATAATGTTGCGCAGAGCGTTACAAGTAAGTATCAACTTATTTGTATTTATTAAGAAATACTTCTAATTGTAAAATAAATCCCTTTTTTAGAGAATAGTGAAACAACCTCATTGTCTTATCACACGAAATTTAAGCACGAGCAATGATTTCCTAAGTGTTAAAGAAGAAAATGGAACACGAGAAATTACCTTAAATCATGAGAAAACTAGGTAGATTACTATCATATGTACTATTTATATTTCTTATCATAACTGCATCATATTTTTTTAATGAAATTTATAGAAACTCCCTGTCTATTGATATGATGAAGCACCTCGTTGACGCTGTAAATCGGAATAACGATGATATCTCTTTAAGAGCTATTGTTCTTTCTGCAAATGGCAAAATTTTTTCAGCAGGTCACAACCTTAAAGAACTTGTAAGTTTATGTGTCAAGTAAAAATTGAATATTAAAACATTATTTTGTCAAATATATTTTATTAAGAACTTTTTAATTGGTACAGCAAGAATCTACAGGGATTGATCAACACAAGCTGGTATTCAACAAGGCATCAGATTTAATGAAATCTATTGTACAGAGCCCTGTACCTGTTATAGCAAAGGTAAACCAAAATATATATTGACAAGTTTTATACTATAAAATATATTGAAGTTCTCCCTATGGAGCTTGGAACAAACACATTTCTGTGTCAGCTTCACTTCTTAATTTTTATTAGTCTTCGAACAAATATGTGTCTAGCCTGATCAACAATAATTATGATTTTTCTAGGCTAATCCTAGCAACCAGAAATTTTTGTAATGCTAGCTAAGTAAAGATTGAACTATGAAAATCAGATTCATATGAAAAATATTAAAATTAACTTTCTCAATTAATATTTAAGGCCGTGAAGTTAATTTATTTTACAGGTAAACGGTTTTGCAGCAGCCGCAGGGTGTCAATTGGTAGCTACTTGTGATATAATTATATGCTCGGAGACAAGTAAATTCTCAACACCAGGGTTAGGAAATTGTGAAATATTTTGAACCTATTTATTGTATCATTGTACAATCAATAATAATAATTTCAGAGCAAATTTTGGTGTATTTTGCTCAACTCCTGGTATTGCTATTGGTCGAAGCATGCCAAAATCAAGAGCAATGTTCATGCTTTTAACAGGTTTGTCATTTACTAGACTTCTGATTTTTTTAACACAACCTGTTTTTTTTAATAGTTATTATTTTTTTATTTAGGTGAACCCATAACAGCTCAAGAAGCTTATGAAAGTGGACTTGTTACGAAAGTTGTTGCAGAAGAAAATCTAGATTCAGAAGTAAACAATATTATCGAAAAAATCAAACTGAAAAGCCGTAGTGTGATAGCTATAGGAAAAGAGTTTTATTACAAACAAATTGACATGAGCCTCCTTGATGCATATAGATTGGGTGAAGATATAATGGTTCAAACAATAAACTCAAATGACGGTCAAGAGGGTATAAGGAGTTTTGTTGAGAAAAGAAAAGCAACATGGTTTCACAAGTAATCTACCCACATTTTGTAGAGTGAATACCTGGTGAAATAAAATGCATTTATATTTACACCTATATTTATTTACTATAATAAACCTTTGATGAATCAAAGCAAGAAATTAAGCTTACAGTCACTTTATATTTGGCCATAACATATCCATTATATATACACACTAAAAAGTTGAAAGTTGTTACACATAAGTTAACCAGAAACAAAACATTTTATTGCAGAATACCTGTAGTAAATTTAAACTTTTAAAAAATGTCTGTCTGGTCAACTTTGTTTGGTTTGTATTGTGGTGTCAAACTTAACTTTGTGAATTAAACAAAAATATTATACCTAGTTAGTGCTATGTGCTGTAAAATTAACAGTTATTGTCTGATATTGAAAATACATAGACAACATCTTTGTTATCTTAAAAAATGCCTACATGTATGATCATTCTGGTTTTTTATTCTGATAAAGTCAAGGAATCTTACTATTTCAAAACTATTTTGTGCCATTTATTTGGTAAGAAAAAAAAATGTCTAATCATGGACTATAATTTTGTCTATTGAATTTTAAACAAAAAGCAATATTACTGGGATAGTAGACACTAATCTAAATATGCAAGAAACGAGGATTATAAAATATGAATATTAAACCTTGGTAATTGCTAATTGTTATTGCTTAAAGAGTAAAAAATTATGTGTATATTCTATGCAACTGAATCTTGATAAACCAAATTTTATAATAAAAAGAGATAAAAGCTACATAAAACTATATCATGAAAAAATAGAATAAGGTAATGATTATAATATGTTTGTGGTTTTATTTAACTTGTTGTGTATTTTAATAGCCAATAAGAAGCATCTATAATTTACCTTGAATATTATCAAAAAACACAAGTAATAACTTTTTGGCCAAATAATAATTGCAATACAAAAATAATTACATACACAGAAGCCTCACAATCTCACAGACAAATTTAAGTATAAAATGCATTGAAAATTATTAAATAATGGCCTTATTTCATAATAAATATGTTGGTTATATGATTAAATTACATACAAATTTAGTCTTTCAAATTCAAGTTGTTTTATACCACAATATAATAAAAAAAGGTGTAAAATGTTTTATGTCATTGTTTCTGTATTATAAAAGTATGAATACAAGCTGAATATGATATTCAAGTCTTTGTATAAAAATAGGTTTAAGTTTTAAAGTAATGCAAACATTGAATTACTTAAGTGTTTTTTACTAGTAATTCAGAGCAAAGACATCAGAACATTGATACCTTTTTTTATTGTATCATGGTTTTGACAACATTCACAGTATGAAAGGTATCCAGCCTTGTGGGAATGTAAGGTGTTTCCCTGAGAACCCACGGTTATATTGGATCTCACTTCTTTGCCAGTTCGTTGGAGAGCCAGTCTAAACCTTCGTATAGACCTTGGCCTTGGGTTGCGCATGTTGCTTGGATGTACCACTGCAAAACCAACAAAAATTAGAAATTAAATTAAAATATATTTAAAACCTACAACATAGGTAAAACAGTATATTAACTGGCTCATAGCTATATAACATAATGTTCATAACTTGAAATAGACAACAAAATAAATCTTATAGACCACATTCATGAAACTCAACTGTCTAACATGTTGCACAACTTAGCACAGGATGTCCAGGAAATCAGAGATATAATTACTTATGCAGCATGCAGAGCATAGAAGTATGATCAACTACTTGTCTGTTAATAAAAACAACCAGTAAAATAAACAGAGATTGATGCCAAATCTAGAGGAACCTTTGAAAAGGAGGATCATTGATAAGACTGATTATTATTATAGAACTAATATACTATTAATAAAATATACTCACACGACGGTTTCTTAAATTATTAAGATTCAATGCATTCGTAAGTTCAGCAGCTGTCATTGCATTTGGCATGTCCTGCTTATTCGCAAATACCAAAATTACGGCATCTCTCAGCTCATCTTCTTTCAGCTAAAAGAAACACTTGTTCTCCTTTATCATATTTTAGAGTCCTGGGTTTTAAATCGCCAGTTTGATTTGTTATGCCTATTTAATTAACTTATTAATAATTACAACAGAATTTATAACAGTAATAAAACTATACAGTATGTCAACTGAATAATATGTAGAATAAATTGAGTAATATAATATGATGTATATAAGAAATAATATTAGAAAACTACAAATTTATAATTTGTTAAAAGACTCAAGTTTTCTCATTGTTTTAGTAATACTAAGAGATAATGATGATTGATTCTTACATAAAACAATCAAATTAAGCAAAAAGTAATTTGTAAATCCAGCCATTTAACACAATCAATTGGGTTAGTGTATACTATTGAGGGTAAAAACATCACTTACCATATTAGCCAGTTCATTCTCTGCTTCTGCTATCCGTTTTGTATCACTAGAATCCACAACGAATATAAGTCCCTGTGTATTTTGATAGTAGTGACGCCACAATGGCCGAATTTTGTCCTGACCACCAACATCCCAAACTGTGAAGCTTATATTCTTGTATTCCACAGTCTCGACATTGAAACCGATAGTGGGTATTGTTGTGACAATCTCTCCTAGCTTCAGCTTGTAAAGTATAGTAGTTTTGCCAGCGGCATCGAGCCCAACTGAAATATAAACCAATAATATAGCGATTGCCCACTAAACAATGCCTAAAACAACACTAAATATAGACAATGATACATAAAAAACCAACTACGTAATCTTGTTTGAACGAGGTGCCACCATGTCACTTACCCATTAGGATACGCATCTGTTTTTTGCCGAAGAGCCGCGTAAAAACGCTTGAAATAGTTAAACCCATATTGATGGTGATATTATAGGACCCGTATATTTATACTAAAGCGTTTATGAATCACTATATGAGAAATATTAATTTATTCATACAGAAAAATACACCAACAACCAAACGAGACGTCAAAATTTTATTCGTCAACGCGAACACGGATGACGGACCACGTCAGAGTTATCAATTGTCAACAATATTGCAGATAACAAATACAAGGAATCTTATTATTATTTTAAATCCTGCAATATTTTTATTTATGTCTTGTTTCATTAAAATACTATTTTTTATATTAGAAAAACACATAGTTTATCGATATTTCCAGTAGATATCATTATATGGAAAACTCAAGTCATTATTATAATATCGACCCGGGCGTGTTTCCATTCTCAACCAATGAGAACTCAGACAACACAGTAAGCATGCTGTCAATGTTATCATGGGTCGTCATAGAAACGTTTTGAAAAACTTTTGATTTAGATTTTTTTGGCCGGAACAGGCATGGAGATTAATGAAGGTAAGTTTTTCATTATTTTAGTAGATTTATACATGGTTAAATGCTCATTTTCTGAGCTCGGAAAATTAAATGAGTTCCTTACAGTTTTCTTTAATATAATCCAGTTTATTATTTTATTAAATTAATATTTTGGCTTTGAGATACAAATATTTGAAGCGTGTTATATCAATAGTATCCAAGAAATTTTGCAATCTGAGTACTAATTTCTACAGACGCAAAAAATAAGGTTCTGTGTACAAAATATAATATTTGAACTGGAAAATAAGTCGTTCTTATCAAAGATAAGCTTTACCAAATATTTTCTAGCCCGTTATCCTATATATAGAGATTTTTATGTTTTAATATAAAAGTCTTCTGACACGCACAACACGCAAATCTAAATGAGAAGTAATATTTCCGAATTATAAAGTTGTTAACTTTTAATGCTAACTAAATACTAAACTAATCTGCAAATAGCATAAAACTAATATTCCATTGAAGCTATCGGTGTTTCTTTATTAGCTTTTTATTAACAAAGACTTGATTGAGAAGAGAAATGAATTTATCTCATTAAAGATAGAAAATACCTAAGTGCAAGTTTCCTAACGGAGTTGGTGTATACCAATATGGTGTTAGCCGAGTTAACTTTGCGTTTTCTATGACTTGTAAATATGCAATAGCGCGCAATTGGCTATATTACGTCATGTAAGACCCACACCTATATCGGATGAATGTTAATATTGTTAAACAAAGCCTTGGGCGGCTGATTACAAAGTTTCACTCATCTGTTATCGATTAATGTTATTTACTTGGTTATATTTGACCGCCACTGTGGCACAATGGTTATAGACTTCCATTTCGCGAGTTACTGGGTTTTGGCTCGGACAAGGCGCAGAAATCTGGCCAACTATTTGCTAAAAAAGATATATCAGCTAACTTGATACAGAACACTATGCCGTATATATGGGGAACGAGATTTCACTTTTTCATATTTTAAGAAGTCGTACTATTCTTTGTTTGTAAATAATTGTTAACTGAAAAAAGGTTAACAAAGTCAGTAAAAAATACCTTTGCTACCCCGTATACTTCTAATGGCCCTTTGATTTTTATAGACGACCTTGCTAAGCCAGAAAACTTTACCCTAAATTGTAACGTATAAGTAAATTTTTCAATCAGGCAATTTTTTGCCTAGTAGGTGATCTTCGATCTCTATCGTGGTTAAGGTTATCTACAGGAAAACATTAAGGAAATAGATAAACTCGAAAATAGATGCAGTATCATCGTCCATCAATCAGTATTTAATGCTAAAAGTTCCTGTACATTTATATTTCATAAGTCAAAATTGGTGTAATATTTTTAATATTATAGTGAAATACGTTTAATCTTCTATATAATATTCATTTTATGGGGTAGAACCACTGAGCCTCAAAAAAATTACGAGCTCTCAAGTTTTGCCCGAGTCGTAAGATTTTTCAATTTATAATCGATTTTTAATTTATATAGTGCCATCATGTGCAACATACTACATGTGAAAAATATTAAAGTTTAGAAACCTAAATACTGTCTATAGTTTACGCGAGTAGTACACATTTAAATAAAACACTTTAACGGTTTAAAACGCGATATATTAGTTAAACTTATTTGAAAATGATTTTTAACTTCGGCCCGACGTTTCGGATGCTTTGCAGCAGCCGTGGTCACTAGGAGAGAAAATTTTCTTTCATTTGAAATGCTCAATGTAGCAGTCGAAACCCTAGATCTCTTTCTATTTATCTAAGTTTGCCCTCTTAAAACAGATTATGAAATCATACTGCCTTGTAAAATCTACAGAATATTGTATTTCATCTCAAACATCTGGCCTACACAATTCCGCCCACAGTCGATATTTTTCTGGTCACAGACCTCTGCCTTTTATTGTGATCGAATCACAAGCAAAGGCAATTAATCCGCACTGAATATCAGTATAATGTTAGCTATAAACACTGCATCACTAAGTTGATCATAATTTTCGATTCTTATCGTGGTTTATTTAAAAAACCTTTTGACATCTTCGATACTTTATATACATAATGTAACTTATATAGACTGTATATATGACCATAATTTTGTTATCAAGAATCTTTTAATTGGAAACGGTAATTTCTGAAACAAACAAACTTTTCAAGTTAATAAAATCAGTATAGATAATATTATAGCGGTTACAAATTCAACGTCTAAAGCAAAAATAGGGGGGGGGGGGGGGCATTTTTTTCAGCCTGAGAGCAAACAGTTTCCTTACGTATTTCTCTAGTAAATAGACCGATTCGTAAAAAATATATTATCATTAAGTCCATTATATGGCCCTATAGTTTTTATTAGGCTTTTTGGCGCAAATATTATGACTCCAAAATTGCGTATCACGTCAATCAAACAATTCTCATCGTTGTCGTCGCCTCTTGAAAAACCATAAAAGCATTTAAATTTATCTCGATTAGCAATTGAGATTCGCGTGTCGTCTCCTGGCCTCGTTTTCTATTAAGATAGTTCGCTGACCCAATGACGTCACTGTATGCAATAGTAACGCGATGTTGCACAAGGTGAAAGAGAAATTATAGGTATTGTTTATCTAATGATCCTATGGTATGTTAACTAATCCGATTTGCTTGACCTGCGTTCGCTCGTAAAGTACACATACGTTAGTTGCGATCCGTTCTGCTGTGTTATTGTATAGTGTTAGCGAAGGCCCCCTATTAAGAGGGAGAAGGTAATGTTACACAGTTAGCTGATGTCTTTACAGTCTAATAAGCACTATGTTACCCCACGCCAAAGCACTTATATTTCTCGAGAGTTACGCTTCTCCGAAAAGAATGCGAAAAAAAAACTGGTATAATGGGTAAGTTAGTGGCAATAGCCGATAAACCCAACTAAGTCGTAATGACGCGACGTGGTGGGTCTGAACTGTAAAATCTTCTCACCTGATGCCCGACATGACTTAAACCACGAATAGAAGTCGATCGTCCCACTTTTTTAATGTTGTTTATCTATATATACCTACTTAGTCTTTTGCATATTCTGAGAAAAAAAATAGTGAGATAAATTATAAATATTTAAAATCTTACACACACTAATTTCTTAAAACATAAGACAGATACATATCTCTTAATTCAATCAGATAAGAGAGGAATTAATATTTAATGAATATTGACTAAGATATACTATATTCATAGAATCATTACACACTAGTTCTGTTTAAATATCAAAGCTAATCAATATCATCAATCAAACTATTTAGAGCAGACATTCATTTGTATATCTGTTTATCCGTTACGAAAGACCTTCACCAACATATTGTATTTTTAGTTTGATATCTCTGTTACGACAAGTAAGTTAGAAAACATAGTATAGTTATAAGCTAACAGGGATACGTGAATTAAACTCTTGAATTAATTTATAAATATTAAATAAATAAAAACAAAACCCCATTTATAAAAATATAGTTTCAGTAAATCCAGTGATAAAATTCGGATCATGTGCTGGAAAAATTCGATAATTTCTCTTAAATGGATTAGAAAGGCCGCTTTGTATATATCTATTTTACGTGGACGCAAAATAAATACGTGGAAAACGTAAAAAAGAAACACAAAGCAAATCCTTCTATTAAATAACGAAATCCTTTATCAAAGTTTATATATACTATACCAATTGTGTAGAAAATTATTTATTATTAGATAAGACAGACCATGTACAGTATAGAAGCCGTTGCTAATCGTTAATAGCTAGAAAATGCACACCACATTTCTAGCATAATGCATTCATCCATGCATCTATAACAGTGAGCTACTATGCTAAAGTTGAAGCCATTTCGTTTTGTAAGAACACCTAGGAACAGTCTGTTATTACTGAAATATGGCACGTATCATATATTTTATTAATTAAAGTAATTTGAGTGCGGAAGCTCTGGATCTTTGTTGTTGCACTTCGATTGGAAACTTCTAAGACATCTTTTTTTATGATACAAGAGAGCAGACAAGCATAGGGATCGCTTAATAGAAGACGAATTACCCCAGCCGAAATCTACAGACTGAAACCAAAACGAGATAAAATTTTACAGAATTTTGTATGTAACCTGTAAACAGTGGTTCGTTACCTGGACGGAATTTCGATGTTCCTACCACCACAGTGGTGGAACCTAGTAGGGTTACATCCCATGACTCGTTGGTATGCATTGCTACCATTATACCGATGGGTGCGTCTGCTACAGGTAGACAGCTGTTATTATTTCCGTGTATTGAGTATCAATTAATAAAACTCAAAAATTTTACAAACATGTACAATCTCAATTGTGTATTATCATTTTAAATTATTGCTTTCTAAAAATCATTATCAAAGAAAATTTCGTCTCTATCCAAGTTGATCAAAGGCCATCCATCAATCCAAATAAGATTAGTATCAAGACGGATTAATCACTGTTTTCTCACGTTGATGGTATAGAAACACCCGTGAGAATTAGTTTACATTCGTGATATGATATTTTCCAGAAAGATTCAAATGAGCTTAATTAAGTGACAGCTTTTACGTAAGTGCAATGTAATATAATAGTTATTTTTCTTAGTTGCAAGTGTGTCGTGAGATTTTTACAATGATGCGTAATTGCTTTTGTAAGATTATGTAAATTTTTGTTACTTTAAATAGTGGTTAGGATTAAACCATTAATTTTATTTATGATCAATCGCTTATTTAACTCAGTGGATAGTTTCGTGCTAACTATATAATCTTGAACAGTATATAATGAAAAAACGTTTTTGCTTTTTACATTAGCAAAATAATTTTTCATATTTTCGTGACTACGTCCTACCCATCGTTGTATTAGAAGTTCCATTGTATAGTTTCAGTATATTTAATTTCAAAACAAAACATGTACATTCATCAACAGTCTAGCGTAATCTCATATACTCCTTTCTTTTCACAACAATAGTGATTGGCTATAGAAAATAACGAAAGTTAAAAATCTCTGACTGACAGCTTTTGGATGCGAAACGAAATTTCACAACTCCCATCTTATATCGAGTTCATTCGATACGTAAATTCATCGGAGTGTAGCATCGAGCGGTCCGATACGGTCTATTGCAGTGGTACTGTATCGGGGTCTCCACAAACCTATCCCGCCGGAAACTCGTGCGTTTAACGTGGGGACGAGCGAGACGATCTCTGCAACGGAAGCGCGTTATGCATCATTTAACTTGATTCTAATTAGCTACCTGTCAAGTGGCCATGGATATTGTGAAATCGACGTAATTATAATCATATCGCCTCATCTTGATTGGTATTTACTTGTTTTCAAGGAAATAATCTAATGACGTGGCTTACTTGTAGTAATGAGTAAACTGGTTCTCGTTTATTTAAGGGACTTCATTAAGTCATGTATATTTTTAGAGATATAAAACAGAAAATATGTTACCTTCATATAACTCGGGTTTTTTTTGACATACAAATTCGGTTGCTGTGGAATTCCCCCGCATACAGGAAACTTCAAAATTCTAACTAAGAGTGAAAAGTTTGTGAAAGACCGTTATAAACTACATATATACACAGGTTAATATTGTCTTATGTTTGATTTTCTCAAACTTGCTATCGTCTTGAGATTTGCGTATATCTTTGAAGAGACCCCTTAAGAATACCTACTAAAAGCGGTAATCATCGCTGAACCAGCTACGCGAGCTTGATGTATGAATAATGTTAATAGCATATTATGTTCAACGAGGTTTTGTTATAACGCAAGCGCAAGCACATGTGGTTTTACTTGCTTCGTTCTCTTCTTGTTAGGTTTTCTTGTATCATTATGATACACAAACCTATTATATTATAAAGAGTTTATACTTTACTTATTAACATTTTCTTAAAATGTTCAAGGAATTAAAATTCCCTCCGATTTTTGTCAAGCGGGGAATTTGAAAAAACACTGCAGAATGTTTTTTGTTCCCTTTGTCCCTTGGGCTTAAGGGCGCTCACACGTCACACCCCTGCGATTTACGTGCAGTGTGCGCCCGTCGTTAGCCGAAATCTGTCTCGAATATTCCAATTTAAAGGAGCCAACGGATGTATATCTCCGGTGTTGTCACCACGACACTCGTACGAGCTCCATAAGTCTCCCTTGATCACTCCGTTTCGTCGCTTCACAGAGAAAACTATTCTGTTAACGGAAGCGGTCGGATTTTTAACAATTTTGTTTGTGCGTTAACCGGTCAACCCGTAATTGTGGTGCGTTGCGCGCGCGCCGGCAGTTGTGATCGCAACACGAACAAGAATAGCCGTCGAACGGAGACCCTTTACATCCGCATAACGTGATTATCTGTTTATCAATACAAGTATTAATCATCTAATTCTACTGAAGTTCGTAGGCATTGAGAGCGGCGATAGACGCGCGAACATTCCCGCCGATCGTGTTTTCAGCGAGGAAATTTTATCAACGCCGGTCGCGATAGTGATAAGCGTATGTACAATTGATAGCCAGTGATATAATAACGGTCGTGTCGGTCTGTCTTGAATGAATATCGAGTTGACTGAGTGATGCGCTTGCGTTGCATGTAGCGATGCCTATTTTTGTAGCACGGAAATAAGCGCGGCAATAGGAGCAAAAAGCTCTGCCCAAAACTTGAGGACGCGGCGTATTTTTGTTAAATGTTAACCGATGTGTGTTGTATCAATTTGTGTCGAATCAATCAAATATGAAGAAGAGTGCGATATTGAAATTGAAAGCCATATTTGGGTCAAAGAAGGGTGAGTGATCGTTATCTTGTATCTTATTGTCTTCAAAATTAGTTATTTAAATACCTGTTGACTTTAACTCTAATATTTCCGGGTTTATTCTTATTAGGTCTGTTGTACCGTCTAACGTTAGTTGATTTACAAATATATCCACCCAATTTTAACTCGTCTGCGCTAGATCGTTGGTTGGTAAATCATTCGTAGATTAAAGCAGCTTTTCGGTGTACATTTTCAAGACCTTATCTAATAATGAAATTTAGTATAAAAGAGTAGGCAACATACAAAATATTTTAGATAATTTAATTATAAACTTGCGATAGCCGCTGAGTTCAAGGACAGCATTTGGTAATTCTTTAAATTTTATGACGTAAATATGCCTCTTAAAAATAATACCATCGCCTTAAAATATTATGAATATTTAAAATGTCAACACTTATAATTCATAAATGTTTTAAGAATAACTCGAAACGCTATCTAATGCACATAATTTTATGATACGAATGTTTTTATATATAATTTAAACAATAATCACAATAATAAAAAAATTGCACGAAACGTTGTAACGTTGTAACTTCACATCCTTTTTTTCAACTAAATTCAATTTTAGATTATCCCAATTTAAAAACATAACCTCAAAATTATGTTCATAACCTATAAGTAGATTATGTTAGATGAAATCAAAGGTGAATATCCTTTATATATCCACTAACATTTAAATGATAATACACGAAGAACTTTTCAAATCACTTTTATTCTTAAATTTAATAAAATAAGTAATACCTGAACCCCAATTTACATGAAAAGGGCAATACATTTACTCAATATTACCTAAAATAGATAATTTGCAAGAATTTCGAGAGCGCGTAGTATATCTATTTGTATTGGAAATTGTAATTGTAGCGCATAACTACACGCAACTGTGCACCTGGCTATTTTTTTTCTTCTTTCACTTACTGAACCCCTAAAGATGGGACAGCTGCTCTAAGATTTTATTGCCCAAGTCTAAAGTGCCTATAAATTCTTTGCGTCTCTCCGTCTTTTAAGTGATAATTTATTGCGACATTCTTAATTAATTTCGTGTGTATTTATCTATTACGGTTTGTTCTTTATGTTTTTGTGGTTCTAGCGCATCATTGTAAAGTAGATGCACCTAGAATAATCAAAATGTTTTAAATGTAGTCCAAGTATTGCATTTAATAATGTTTTCTTTGGTTGCTTTAGTCAGATTAAAATTTTTAAATACCTACTTTAAATAAATGACGTCAACGCTTAAACGTTAGTACGTTCGAGTTCCTATGAAACTAATTTATTGAAACATTACGGTCGGGTAGAAAACAGCAGTCACAAAAGTGTGTCCGCTCAGTGCCCGATGTAGTAGGAATGGCATTTATACACCCATTTCACAGATCAAATAATACTGCGTGTTAATTCTTAAAGTTACGAAAATTTTAATTATATTCACACGACAATTCATTACGTAAGTCTATTATACAAAATTGTGACAGCGTCATATTATTTGACAGTAACATCTTCGAAAAGTGTCCTCCACCTTATTCGCCTCAGTTTGATAGTTTTAACTGTAGATAACCTGGCTATTAAAACACGTTCGCATAACACCAGTGATAAGCACGTGTGGTTAGTGCTAAGGCACTGTGATATTGGAAACTCGCTGTTTACTCTTATTGTTTTGTTCAGTCCCGAGGATTGTGCGACGGACGTTGCGTGTTTCAGTTGTGAATTTTATTTGGATTTTAAATAATGCTTTCGTGTTTCTGCGCGCGGCGTAAACGCGGTGAGTTGTGCCATTTTCTAATCGCGATCACAAACAAAAGACTTAGGCCTACTTACTGTTTTCTTATCATGAACATACATACATACATACATGACTATAATATATCTGTCTGCAATTATACAAAATTCGATATGTAATTGTAGTTTACGTTTAACAGGCATCCATTGGATAAGACAATTTCAAAAAGTGAAAAGAACGGAATATATAGGTACCTCAGTGAATTGCTTCTCAAGCTATTTGATATTGTATTTTAATACAGAAAATGATCACATCATGTTGAAAAGTTCCTAGAACTGGAAACTTGAAACTAACCTTCAAACATTTGTTGTTTTGTAAAAAGCAAGACAAGATACCCAACGAGACAATGAATACATCTCAATCTACCATCACTATATTTTTAAATTTCATTTTGATGCGGCTACAGAAATAGGATCGATAAAAAAACTATTTTCAAATCCTATATGTTGTAAATACTACAGCTGTGAATAAAAAAATATTAAAACGTATTCTGTCGAGATGTTCCTATAGCCTTCTAAGAATCTGCAATTCTCCGAAACGCGAATTGCTTAGTGGCAATACGGGTTCTGTTAATCGTAACTTTCGATTAGGTCATTAGTGTTTGTCATTTCATAATCGGTTATCCAAATGTTTACTTAAGTAACTGTTTATTTTATATTTATTGTATTTTAACAATTCTTACCAAGTTTCTCAAATAGCTAGCTAAGATTGAAGGTTTAAAGGAGGAGGACTGCGTATTTTTAGAGCAAATAAAATTGAAATCGATAGATAAATAAGTCGATAGTTCTCGTACTTTCATTAAGTATTTCAAATTAAAATCTTTTTAGCAGTGTAACAAATTAATAATAGTTTCAAATTAGATTAACTAATAGAACTATAGGTAGGTACGTTATTTCTATAAAAACTTAATGCAAATCTTTCCTAATTTCATATAAATACAGCACTTAATCCTTAGTTAATTTTCTATCAAGGAGTCCCCTAGAAAGCCATTACAGGCTTCCATTGTAAATCTCTAGCCTATTGTCTTGTCATCTAACGCAGATAATGGTTCTGTTGAGTAGCCACTGCGATGTGATTGCGTGAGAAATGTCCGTCTAATGGTCTCGATGCGTAGATGTCTCTTAATTTTGTCGTTATGAACATAATTTATAGGAATTTCTAGTTTGAAAAAGCATTAAACTATAAATAAAACTAATGAATGAATTAGTCTTAATTCTCTGACCATAATTCAATTGGGCACACCTTAATTTAAAGTTTTGTATGCTATTTAATATCCAACCAAGTCACATTGACATGTTTGTAAAAGGGTTTAAGACGTTAGATTTCTGAAAATGTAAGTTATTATTTAAAAAATATGTTACTACAAATAGGAGCTACATTAAAGCTAAAGAAACATTTAGTTGCTTAGCACTTCGCAGCGTACTTTTCACTGTATCAATTAAATCTTTAAAAATGGCTTATAAATCATAAATTGGTAAAAAACTTTTACAGTGTTGTAATTTTGAAACCATAATTATTTTATTTTCATCACACTTGCCTCTACGCCCTTCTACAGCAGATAACACTTATGTTTTATGTGTTCTCGACGGAACACCCCAATACTTTAAGTTCTAAAAATAACTTAATTTGAGAAACTTTCAATGGAATACCGCTTGGATGCATTCTGAAGATGCTAAACAAAAACTTGTGAACGTTGAATTAACGTTTCACAAACTTAATGCACCGTTAAATATTTCTGCAGCCGCGTGAAAAGACGACTGAAGAACATGTATCTTCATAATACAATATAATACTTATGGTACATAGGTTTATATGAGAGTTATACAAATTACAAATCTAGCAATTGTTATTCTGAATTCTGAAGCCTTTGTATTTTTTTTAGATTAAAATAATTTCATACGATAGGCAAAGCTCGAATACAAACATAGCGTTACGTTTTGTCTACCAGTAGATCTATCATGTATCAATCAAGAGTAAATAAATAATCATTTACATTAAATTTACTTTAATTAATCAAAATCTCTAATAAAGTATAAATATTGTATGTGTGCATGTGTTTTATAAATCATATTTATTTTTAAAACATGTTAAAAAAGTATGATTTATATAACGAACAATTTATCTGCTTTGTAAATGTTAACTAACACATTTCCAAGAAATTATCATGTTATATTGTAAGACTTCCTGTTAACTTTTTACTTTATTTGTCGAGACATAAGCACTAGGACCAGATATAAAAGACGAATTGTTTGTCAGCATCTCGGATGTTGCGGTGTTGTGGTTAGATGTCTCACGAGCTAAACGCATCCGGGTTAAAGTGTCAAGTTGGTCCACAGATTCTATTGTTTTCGATATCTATTCCTGGGATAGGATTTTTGTTACATCACTCGTAGAACAAAGATCGCTTCTTACAGTGTGTATTGTATTCTTTCTAAAGTGAAGGAATTTATAATTTAATACAATTAAATAAACGTAACAGTTCTTTACTTTTATTATCTTATATAATTTTATTGTGTTTAGTTATTTTAAAAATGATTACATATTATGTACTTGTAGAAACTTATCTAAAACGCATTAAGGTCCCAATGCTAATCGCAGAAATTAATTGGTTCCCAAGGAAATTCTGTACAGCTTAATTAAATACTGTCTAAAGTTTACGCGAGTAGTACACATTTAAATAAAACACTTTAACGGTTTAAAACGCGATATATTAGTTAAACTTATTTAAAATGATTTTTCTCGGCCCGACGTTTCGGATGCTTTGCAGCAGCCGTGGTCACGGGGAGACTGCGAGTAGACCACGGCTGCTGCAAGCATCCGGCAAAATAAGTTTAACTAATATATCGCGTTTTAAACAGCTTAATTAAGCTTAGTTTAGCTTGTTTATAGCTTTATAGTTGAGTAGTATTAGATATAAACATTTTTCCCTACATAATCTAGTACTAATTACTGCCTCGCTGGTCGTGTGGTCTGTACACTGATTAAGGGATGGAGGGTGCGAAAAACCGGGTCGGGTAAAACACTACGTCGGTCTTAGGATTTTCTTTATCATAATATCTTGTCAAATTCATTATGTGCACAGCACATTACGTTAATTTATCTTTTGTTTTAGTAGAACACTTGCGTAAAGACAGGCGTTTTATCAGCCGACTGTTGGTTCGAAGGCTGCCCGCACGATGTTAATGAATCAGTAAATAAACAA